GCCTGGGAGGGAGGGAAGGGAGGGGTGCCGCCGCTGGCGTCTCTTCTGGTTGGTTGGTCCGTTGGTGCCGGATCCGGGAGGGAGGGAAGGGAGGGGTGCCGCCGCCGGCCGAATCCGGGAGGGAGGGGCGCCGTGCTCAGAGAGGGAGGGGCAGCGCCGGGGTAGAGAGGGAGAGAGGGAGGGGCGGCGCCAGGGAGAGTGGGAGGGAGGGGGCGACGGCCGCGCGAGTTTATAAGATGCCGAGTTTGCCGAGTGTCGAATCTAGGACACTCGGCAAAGCTAAGTTTGCCGAGTGTCAGATCACGGCACTCGGCAAAATTATCTTTGCCGAGTGTCTGCACTCGGCAAACTTATCTCTGCCGAGTACCTATCTTTTGCCGAGTGCCAAACTTTGCCGAATGTTTTTTGCCTCTTTTGCCGAGTGCAATTATTTTGCCGAGTGTTTTTGTGACAACACTCGGCAAATAGCTTCTTCACCGAGTGCCCGATAGAATGCACTCGGCAAACACCTAGTTTCCGGTAGTGTGAGGAAAGTTGGAAACCCTAGGGAGGCAACAGGAATAGGTGGTGATGCCTGTTGTGCTACTGTTTGGAAGCTAAGGTTGTCTTGTGCGTGTTCTTTGTTTTTTTCCTTCTTCCTTCATTTCCCTGCTTGATTAGCTAGCTAGCTAGCTGGGGGTGTTTGGTTGCAGGGATTAAAGTTTAAGAAGTGTCACATTGGGTGTTACATGGGGTGTCGTATGGGGTGTTCGAATACTAATAAAAAATAAATTATAGAAGTCCTCAGTAATCCATGGAACGAATTTATTAAGCCTAATTAATCCGTCATTAGCGCATGTTTACTATAGCACAACATTGTTAAATCATGGACTAATTCGGCTTAATAAACTCGTCTCGCAAATTAGTCTCAATCTGTGCATTCAGTTTCGTAAATAGTCTATATTTAATACTTCATGCATGTGTCCAAACATCCGATAGGACAGCGACTAAAGTTTAGAAGGTGGAACCAAACACAAAGGGGTTGAACAGTGTACATGGAAGCTCTAGTAAGAGGTTACCAAAAAAACATGAGCTAGCTACCAATACAAGTTGTCCAGTCCAGGGGTTCATTCTAGCTAGTGTTTGTGCAGGTGCAACTTTATGTCCATATTGATGAAAGAGATCAATCAGTGGTAAAGTTACTCTTGCTACGACTCTCTTTGGACTCTTGGCTAGCTGAGTTGCTGGTGCTTGGTGTGGAGAATTCCTATTCTACTACCACTCTCTCTCTCTCTCTCTCTCCCAAACCCAAGACCAAAGTTAACAAGTATAGCTAGACAAGTAGACAGTGCTCTCATGTATGTACAGTTCTATATGAGTAGGCAACTTTAAGTACATAGAGTAGATAAAGCAAAAAAGTACGTACTGTCCTACACAGGTCTTTGTGCAATGTACAGATGAGCAGTAGAGGTGGCCGGCCGGGAAGAAGAGCTGCTAGGTAGAGAGAGAGCTATACGGATCGATTTATTTTGTTTGCTTGCTTGCTTGCACAGCTGGGAACAGTGTTTGAGAGTACATAGCCATTATATTGATTCCAAATTTGTCGCCACTAGTCCTTTCTATCTCCTGTGGTTGAACACAAACTGTCCTGATATCTATGTATATGTACGTGCTGATGCTACTAACTAGCGCAATTCTCAAGTACAGTACTTGGAAGAAATTTCAGCGCAAACATGAAGCATCTATGGTAGGCTACTAGCCCTAGTTAAATAGTAGATAGATCTATATGAGACAGCGTTTCGATCGCTTTGTTGAACGAGTTAAGCAAACATGTCATCTGAATACTATACTAAAATAAACTATGATGGGGCTTTACACATTCGAATTGTACATGCAAGATCTGGACAAATCACGAGGTTCTTATTCTATTCGGGTCCTTCGATAACTAGAAATAATCAACAAGTGACTTCCCAAAAATCGGCGCAATCTTTCCTTGCTTTCATATATTCTCCCGGCCCATCCATCTATGCTGGCGTGTGATGCATTTTTTTCCCTCTCCGAATGGTATGGTGAGAGCACAAGGGATTTGTGCTCGCTGTCTTATAATTAGATCATTATATTCTCCTAATTGGCTGTCTTGTCATCAGGTACCAATTGAATAAATAAACCTGAAACAACCCACTTTCCCTAGCTTGCCTATGATTGATTAGCTAGCTAGAGAGATTAGACAGAGGATAACAATTCGGTTCTTTCAGCGTAGCAGGAGGATCTAGTAGGCAGTGCACTCGGCTTTCCCATTTATTGATGAGCTAGCTATAGCTACTATATATCTCGTTCATTCAAGGGGACTAGTGAGTGGTCAGTTCTCGATTTAGTTAAGTTACTTCCTTTCAGAGATTCAGTGCATCGATCAGGCAGTGGTCATTTTACAGTGCCAGAATGCATGCAGCAGACTGGTGAGTGTCCAGTAGGCAGCTAGTGCTGCTGCTACCTGCAGAACGCACGAGCCTTCAGATCAGGCTTCGGTTAGTTGCATGCATTGCGCGGCCTGAGAACCTTCAGCTTTCACCTGAACTAGGTTACATACTTAATGCGAACAAGGTTCTACTACAGCTTGAATCCATCTCCAGGCAGCTAGTGTCCAAAACGAGATGACCGTCGACATATATATGTATGTCAGTATGTATAAAAGTTGAACCACCAGCCGACGTTGCAAGCATGAGTAGCACCAGCAGGTTTTTGTTTAATATGATATGAGAGAAGAGAAGAGAAGAATATAACATGCATCATGAGCAGCAGGCGCTACCACACATGGTTTCATGATTCAGCTTTGGAGGCGCGTATAGACGACAGTGGCTTTAATAGCAGTCCAAGATTCTGCCCCGCTTTTGCTCACTGAAGATTGTGTGCGCACTAGCTAGCACTACTGGTCATTTCAACCTGCAGCAGCAGCAGCTGGCTGGACCGAACCTGCCGCGCGCACTGAAATCCTCAAACATCTCTCTCCACCGCCTGTATCTGCATGCGTTTCCTTTGGGGCGAAGGGATCGACGATACAGATGTACTAACTATGTATACAATACAAGTGAAAAGCTGGGTGCAGGAGAAGGAAATGACCGGAAATGACCGTCTTGTTTAGTTGGACCCCAAAGTCCAAAAAAGTTGCTACAGTACCTGTCACATCGAATGTTTGCGGTTCGTGTATGGAGCATTAAATGTAGATGAAAATAAAAACTAATTGCACAGTTTGGTGGGAAATTACGAGACGAACGTTTTGAGCCTAATTAGTCCATATTTGAACACTATTTGCCAAATAAAAACGAACGTGCTACAGTAGCCCCAAAATCCAAATTCACTCAACTAAACAAAGGCGAAGTGAAGCTTGCTACTTGCAGATTTCAGAGATGCACGCATTCATGGCGTACTGCAACGATGGATTCAGATATCAGAGATGTCGAACGATCGATGGATGGATAGAGATAGAGATATATATGCATGCATGCAGTTCGGTAGCAGTAGTACACGGATGGATAGATGGATGGGTGGATGAATGCATGGACCAGCCGCAGCAGGCAGGGCAGAATGACGGAGGCAGAAAGCTAGTCTATGGCGGCAGTCAATTAAAGCTGACCGATGGATGCATGAATCAGCTAGGAGTAGCTTGCTAGGTACTCGTATAGCTTAAGGTAGCGCCGGCCTCGACGATCGCCTGGCCCCAACGCATGCACTGTCATGGATACGATGATTTCCCCCGGTCCTTGCTCTCAATCAAGCCGTCAGAACAACTGCCGGTGGAAAGCGCAACCCAGCACCAGCACCGGGAGGCAACCAAAGTCACTGGCAAGGGCAGGCAAGCGCCGGGCCGGCTCGTCACCTCACCTCTCGCTCCCTTTACTTGGTTCTCCCTCCCCCTACCCTCGTCCTACTGGCCTGGCCCGCCCTGGCCTCTCTCTTTCCGCGGTGTCCGGCCGCGGCAGGTGCCCGGCAGCAGCGGCATCCACCTGGGCGGGCCGCGGCCATCGTGCGACCGACGCGCGGATGCCCGGCAGCAGTATGCCCCGGGAGCGGGACGGCCAGGTGAGTAAAGCGACGGGGGGCCGCTGGGCGCCTGAGGCGATAATGATTGGCACTGGTTGGCCGGCCGGCGTCGGAGGGGCCGGCGGGACGCCGCTTTCGCCCTGCACTATCATGGCTGACGATCGCGAGCTGATCGATCGATTAAAGCCAAAGGCGCGCGCGCTCAATGCATGGCTGGGATCGGAATTAATTTGAAAGCAAGCACCGGAGATGGCTGCCGTTTCATGCGACTTTTCTTCTCTTCGCCCGACACCTCCCCCGGATTCTTCGTTTCGATGGAGATCTCTTGGTTGTCGTTGTAGCAGCCATATCACGCATGCATATATAATGCGTCCTCGCGCACCGCATCGCTCGCGATGTGTGTGCATACGGTGCGTCCAGCTCCAGCACAGCAGAGCATATATATATCTAGCGACGGTCATGCTCACGCCGGCCAACAGTGGCGTCGCCGACAGGAATCATTACGGACGAATCAGACAGTACGACATTCTCACTCGCAGTTTCAAAACCCCCACCCCCACCCCCATACTACGGCCGGAGGAGCTGACGAACCAGCTAACATCACCATATATTATATGTATATATTTATATTTTAATAAAGTGCAGGAGTATCATCTCATCTCAGTAGCAAAACCGAAGCCACAACGATTTCAAGCAACAGCAGCCAAGTTGATCCTGACTCATCATGTTTAAAAGGGAGCAAAATACACAACTAATGCGGTGTAGAATACCAAAACAGAATACTGAATAGAATATACTTTCAAAGCGCGTCAATACAGGTCCAGCCTGAAAAAGCAAATTGTTCATGACACGCACATAACCAGCGTACAATTAATTATAAGCCCAAGTGGTATGATTGCCACCTGGGGCTGCAAGCAACAAAAGAGCTATCATCTTCTTTTACTACTACGATACGACGAATGATGGTCCGGGGTGCCCATAATTTAATCGACCTCCTCAATCTTGGGGCCAGCACCGCCAGCAGCAGCGGGGGCCTCATCCCCCATTCCGCCAGCCATGTCAGCACCGGCGCCCTGGTACATCTTGGCAATGATGGGGTTGCAGAGGCCTTCCAGCTCCTTCATCTTGTCCTCAAACTCTTCCACCTCGGCGAGCTGGTTGCTGTCGAACCAGTGGATGGCCTGCTCAACAGCGTCCTCAATCTTCTTGTCGTCGGCGAGCAGCTTCGAGGCAATCTTCTCGTCCTGGACGGTGTTCCTCATGTTGTAGGCGTAGTTCTCCAGGGAGTTCTTCGACTCAACCTTCTTGTGCTCCTCGTCTTCAGACTTGTACTTCTCTGCTTCCTGGACCATCTTCTCAATGTCCTCCTTGCTCAGCCTCCCCTTGTCATTGGTGATCGTGATCTTGTTCTTCTGGCCAGTCGTCTTGTCTTCAGCAGAGACGTTCAGGATACCGTTGGCATCAATGTCAAAGCATACAGTGATCTGAGGGACGCCCCTAGGTGCAGGGGGGGGATTCCAGAGAGCTCAAATTTGCCAAGGAGATTGTTGTCCTTGGTCCGGGTCCTCTCGCCCTCATAAACCTGGATCAGCACACCAGGCTGGTTGTCCGAGTAGGTGGAGAAGACCTGCTCCTTCTTGGTTGGAATGGTGGTGTTCCTTGGAATAAGCACAGTCATGACTCCTCCGGCAGTCTCAAGACCAAGAGACAGTGGGGTCATATTAAGAAGGAGAAGGTCCTGCACCTTCTCATTGCCCTCGCCGCTAAGTATAGCAGCCTGGACAGCAGCACCATATGCAACAGCCTCATCCGGATTGATGCTCTTGCAGAGTTCTTTTCCATTGAAGAAATCCTGCAGCAGCTGCTGAACTTTGGGGATCCTAGTCGAACCACCAACAAGTACAACATCATGGATGGTGCTCTTGTCCATCTTGGCATCCCTCAGGCACTTCTCCACAGGCTCCATGCACTTCCTGAAGAGGTCCATGTTAAGTTCCTCAAACCTGGCTCTGGTGATGGTGGAATAGAAATCAATGCCCTCATTGAGAGAATCAATTTCAATTGTAGTCTGCGCTGTGGAAGAAAGTGTCCTCTTAGCCCTCTCACATGAAGTCCTAAGCCTTCTCAAAGCCCTGGGGTTCCCAGTGATATCCTTCTTGTGTTTCCGCTTAAACTCCTGGACAAAGCGGTTGTCAAAATCCTCACCACCAAGGTGAGTGTCACCAGCTGTAGCCTTCACCTCAAATATACCCTCCCCAATAGTGAGGGGTGAGACATCAAAAGTGCCACCTCCAAGGTCGAAAATAAGGACATTCTTCTCACAAACGCTAGTAGCTTTCTTGTCAAGACCATAGGCAATTGCAGCAGCAGTTGGCTCATTGATGATATGCATAACATTGAGACCGGCAATAACACCAGCATCCTTAGTTGCCTGCCTCTGGGAATCATTGAAGTACAGGAACAGTGTCCACAGCATTCTTCACAGTTGATCCAAGGTAAGCTTCAGCAATCTCACACATTTTGACAAGAACCATGGAAGAAATTTCCTCAGCTGAGAACTGCTTCTCCTCACCCTTGTACTGCACTACAATCATAGGCTTATCCACTGGGCCAGAAATAACCTTGTATGGCCACATCTTAATATCACTCTGAACAGAGGCATCAGAGAACCGTCTTCCTATAAGACGCTTAGCATCTGCATAGTATAATAAAAAGAAGCACCATTAGAATCATAATTTGGACGTTACGTTCAGTATCTCTGCTTATATAAATATCTAAAGTCTTGCCCACAGATATTATTAAAGAAACAAGAACTAATGCCAACAGAAAATAAAGTGTCAGTTCAAAAAATACCATTAGATATGCCCTTTTATTGGATTAAGTTTCTGAAGCAATGGGCAGTTATAATAATATCGTGGATAAACAAGATCTCAAATACAACCCAAAACAGTTCAAATGTATATTATCATGGACTACTTTAACACCTTGTGTGATGTGTATATGCAAACCTAAAAAACATGGATAAACAGATCTCAAAGTACGACCCAAAACAGTTCAAATGTATATTATCATGGACTACTTTAACACCTTGTGTGATGTGTATATACAAACCTAAAAAATATGCATGAATCTTTTGTGATCTGTACCTAACTAATGAATCTAACAAGCTTAGGGGTACATGTGAAACATAACTTTTATTATATTGTATCAAAGATGGATACATAATTTAAGTACCACATGTCCATGTCAATTCATACTTAAACTGCCAAATTCAACCAACATGATCGTTCTTACAGCAAACATAACAAAACGATACAAAGTACAACCCAGAACAGCTTAATAAAGTATAACAAAAGCCAATAATCAAGTTAATTTAATCCCTCCGATTTAAACTAGCAGGTGCATTTCATTTTGTTAGGAAAGCCTTTGACCAACAATCTATATATCAATACATGGTTTTGTAACATAAAATTGATGTCCACATTGACAAATACTTATGATTTTGTATCACATAAATGGCATATTGAAAAAGAGTAATTGATCATCAATGTCTTGTAGAAATAGGCCTCGTTCGGCTGGTCAGAATTCCTGGCTGGTTCGGCTGAAGCTGAATGGGCCTTCCGTCCCAGCCGTTCAGCTGCCCTCTCTAGCCGTTCGGCTGCCCTAGAAACATCAGCTCGCGCCCTCCTCACTCTCCCCCTCTCGCATTCGCTCACGCGGGGTTTAGGGTTGCGCCGCCCCCACCTGTTGCTCCCGCCGCCAACGCGGTGAGTTCTTCGCCCGCACGCCCATTCCCGCTTCGCCGCCCGCCCGCCCGTCGTCCTTCTCCCGCCCCCCGCCCCCCTCCCCCCTGCCGGAGACGGAAGGCGCCATCCACCTGGCCCGTGTCGCCGGATTCGGTGCGGCCTTGCCCTACCAGATCCGCCGCGTCGTCCTCGCCGTGTTGCCGGACAGATCCAGCCCTTCGTCGGCTACGGCCTCACCTCCGACCACTCCGGTAAGTACCAAACTTGCCCCTCCTTTTTCGTATGTTCGTGACGATCCGTTTGGTTAGGGTTGACGATTTCCCGCACCCCTAATCCTACTTCGTTTTTAGGTGAATCCGCCGGCAAGCTCGTTGACACCATGGTTGCTTCAACGTGCTGCCGATTCCTCTGTTTGGTGTCGTTTCCAGATCTGACTTGGAGTCGCTGCCGTTGTAGCCACCGGATCCGCCACCTTTACCTGTTTCCTCTTTCCCCGCAGCGCCAGATCTGGTACGTAGGCGACTGTCTCATCACCTTTTCGAACACACTTGCAGTTCCGGATGAGAAGGGTTAGGGTTCGTTTCTCTCGTTCGCCATACAACACATTTACACACTCATTTATATACATTGCACAAGCTCTGTTCTTTACTTGGCTGCATATACATTACATCCGTCTTTTCCTATCCCATTTTTGCTACACACTTCCGGATCCGCTTCGTTAGGGTTGAAGTTCCTGCTCCCAAGTGTGGATGCCTATGTAGAGGCAGATTGTTAGGGTCACATAGTCCTTGCACATCCGTTGCATTGAGGGTTAGCATAAACTCCATTAGTTTTTTACTGTTTTCCTTTAGACTTGGCTCCCCTAGTTTCTCATGTAGTCCAATGTTGGATGGGTTGTATGCCGGTAAATCTGGCAGTTCAGCTTATGGCTTATGAATAATGCATCAATGAATGAATCACAATGGTCTTCCTCGGGTTGCTTCAAATTTCTGAGATGTAGTTGTAACAGATTCACATAAAGCTCTAACAGATTCGCATGTCTATCATGTAGTTGTGCTCTTTCAAAGTCTATATACTAGCACCGTCGTCGACAGCTTCCTGCTCCCCGCCGGAAGCCCCTCGGTACAACTTGCGTTCCAAGCGCGTGAAGCGAGAAATCAAGGCAAGTACACAATTCTGTCCATTGCATCGTGTTTTAGTTCACCCGTTCATTCCTTTTGTTTTTTTGCGGTACCATTACTATGTCCAGCCACAAACGACAATAGCCCTTCCACGTTCCAACAGATGCCTCCAAAGCGTGCAACTTGGACCGAGGATGACACCAAGCTGTTGCTGGACCTTTGTCTTCAAGAGAAGGAAAAGTGTAACTTCAATCAGCAGGGTCTCACCACGGCTGGCTGGAACAACATTTACACTAACTTCCCCCATTTTGATAAGAAACAGTGCAACAACAAGCTTCAATAACTAAAAAAAGCCTACCTGACATGGAAAGATGGACTGACATCCACTGGGCTTGGGAGGGACCCACGTACGGGCGCCATTGATGCTGACACTGAGTACTGGGAAACTCAAGAAGGTTCCCAGCCCGTGACATCGGTATGTTATCTTGCTACCAGTTCCGATTACATAGGTTACTTCGTTTTACATTATGTCCTCTTCTTTTTTTTGTAGGATGATAGTCAGCCTGAGGTACGACGTGGTAGGCAACCTCGCTTCCTGGACCAATTGGAGGCACTGTTTGGGGACCGCAACCGGAACACAAGCTGCTTCGTGTCCGCTGGTGGAATTCGGGAGTCAACGCCTCCTGCTGCTTTGCGTCGGCTAGACTTAGGCGGCCCATCCACCTACCAGTCTGGTTCGAAGAGGGACACCTGGGACCATGTTGTCAACAGCCCAGAGAAGAAGAATTGCAGTATGGGGGAGTACATGGCCCGGTTGTCTGAGAGCATTGCTGCAAGGAGCGCATCAAGGGATAGAGAGCGGACCCATGAACAGGTCAAGGTAGACGAAGTTATGCAACTTTTACGAGAAGATGGTGTGCCAGCCACTTCAGACATGTTCTTCTTGGCAACGGATTTGTTCAATAACTCAGTGACCCGGCGGGTGTTCAAGAATCTGCTGACATCCAAAGAACGTATGGCTTGGCTGACATATCAAATGAATAAGAACAACAAGTAGTTCAGCAGCTGGGATGTTTAGTTTGGTGTGAAGCAACGGTGGCATTTGAGTGTCGTCTTTTATCCTTTACACTCATTGTTGTCCTAGTTGTGTTGAGGTTTCTGTCTTGTAACGGGGCCTGTGGCCAAAAACAATGTGTCGTATTCTTTTTCCCGAACTTGTTATAAGTTGTGTGATGCGATGTATTTGTTTGAGCTGCCTGACATTACTTGGTTGTTGAAGCTAACAAATATTTCATTGTTAACAGATGCTTTAATTGTTCTATATTTGAACAAATCATAATGGGGTACTTTTGTTGCAGGTACGTAAGGGACTGGTTGCAGGGGTCATCAGTGATCGACGAGCTTGAAGGTGTGTATGCCTTTGACAGTTATAGTGTAATACAGTTATAGTGTAATAATATCTCATATGCTGTTGGAATTTACTTACCAACGATGGTTTATATTTTTCCTTGGCAGCCTATTGGAACATGGACAACAGCGACGAGAAAAGTCAGAATTCAAGTGAGAACAGCTTCAACGAGGTGGTTACTGCAGCTATGGCTGCAGGCTATGCATTTTGCGCACATGCTGCAGGTACCACCACAAGGTAACCATGTTATCTCAGTGCCTGAGCTTACCGGAAGACAGTGGGTAGATAAGCTGTTGTCATATGCTGGTAGGTGCTTTGAAAACTGCCGAATGCGGCCTGAAAATTTGGTTAGGTTGCATAGCATACTATGTGATAGCTATGGGCTAAAAGGCAGTAGGGAGCTTGAATCAATTGAAGCTTTAGCCATGTTTCTATGGGCATGTGGTACAAATCAATGCCAGAGACAAATGCATGAGAGATTTGGGAGGGGGTGGGGACATGTAGCAAGGTATTTTCCCATGTTCTAGCTGCCATGACTAGATTTGCAAATGATGTGATTAGGCCTAGGGACACTAGTTATTCAGGGCTGCCGGCAGAATTGGTGGAGTACACGCCGTTTTTTGATGGCTGCATAGGCGCCATGGATGGCACTCACATAGATGTCATAGTTGATCAAGGAGTCCGTGATAACCACATTAATAGGAAAGGAAAGCCAACCCAAAATGTGGTTGCGGTCTGTAAATTCGACATGAGGTTCACGTATATCGAGGCGGGGACAGAGGGTTCCGCACATGATATGCGGGTCAAAAGAAAGGCAGAAGCCAAACCTCTTTCCCACATCCACCGTCAGGTTAGTTGAACTTAGTCCGTTTGGTTGTATCAGGCTGGAGCTAATTGTATGTTAACTGATGCCTTGCTATGAATTTATGCAGGCCGCTATTACTTGGTGGACTCCGGTTACGCACTTCGCCCCGGGTATCTGACGTTGTATCCAAATAAGAGGTATTGGGTGAAGGAGTTCCAGACTAGGAGGGCTTGTGATGCGCAGGAGTTGTTCAACCGGCACCATTCCAAGTTGTGTAATGTCATAGAGAGGACATTTGGGGCAGCGAAAGCTAAGTGGCAGATGTTGAAAGGCATACCTCACTATTCGGGGACCAAGCAAACCCAGATAATTATTGCTCTTTGTGGACTACACAACTACGTGCATGAGCTGGAGGGTCAGCACCAACAAGCGCGGATCAGGCAGGCGCCAGACCTTGGCCTTTTGAGTCAAATGGCAGTTATGGCGTTGGGAGATCCTAATGATATGGAACATGTCCGCGAGTGGATAACATATGGACTAGGACTCCTTGGGAAGACAACGTAAGTGAAACAATTATGGTTTGTGCATGTTATCAGTTCAGTCATGCATTTTTCCTTTGGCTACCTAGTTTGGGCCTAATGAGGATATGTACACATGCAAGTGAAGTAATTGCCGACATGGGGCACTGGGAGCAGATCCTAATGATGTGCAACAGGTTCACTTCTAATAATTTGTTTATGGTATTACTAAGAAAATCTTTGGCCAAGCTCTGTGCTTCCTTAACCTTTTTTTAATATGATAACTGGATGGATAAGTCATGATGCACATTGACACACTTAAACCATCTGCAGTTCTTTTTAGCATTAATACAAGTGAAAATTGATGTCATGTTGTCATCAGCTAACTTAAGTTTGCTGTTGCTGTAATGTGAAGGTACCTATCTATGGCCATAAATACCTAGCAAAGTTGTGTTAAGCTCTGTGCAGACAACTCGAACCCAAGAACGCCTCAGTCCCAATAGCTTCCTTTGTCACCAAACTGCTCATATCTGTTCCACCTAATCAACAGACCAGAGTTCACCCAGGTAAGTTCCTTCTACTATTTGGCATGTACAGAAAATGGGGACTTGTTTGAATTCTCAGTTTCTACGTTAGTCATCAAGAAATTGAAAGGAAATATGCAGTTTATTTGATTTGCCTACAAGAATACATGCAGAATTTGAGTAGTAAAGACCAGGTAATACAAATTGTTGTATTTATGAATAAATGGATGACCAATGACTCAGTTGGTTTCAAATTGGCAGCTATTGTTATGTCCAGCTGAGTTCTTCGTTCTAATGTGCATAGAGCAAGTGGGAGTGAGTGACTGATGATGACAGGGTGTACCTAGTGCAGAGAGCTCCCGCTCTGTGCAGGGGGTCTGGGGAAGGGTGTCAGTGGCAAGCCTTACCCTCGCCTGTGCAATGCGAGGAGACCGCGACTCGAACCCGGGACCTTCCGATCACAAGCGGTAAGACTCTACCGCTTGCACCAGGCCTATCTAACAACAAGTGATGCACACATATGCAGGAATGTATGCAAACAGCTGAAACACGACGGTCGCTGATCCATCCGTAACATGGAGTTTTTTGACCTCAAGGTCGGTCATCCATCTGTAAGCTATTGTTGAGTCGAATTTGATCCCTTTTTACACATTCTGGTGGGCAATATATCAGAGTTCTTATAGATCTTGTTGCGTCGAATGTGTGCAGGAGTTATCGTCTTGCTTGGAGCGAACAGGGGGGAGCTCAGTCAGCTCTGGAACGCCAAGGGCTTTGGTTTAGCTAGACTGGTCACTTGTGTTCATGTATCTGATGGGTTTGGGTGAAATTATGCCCAGCAGCAGCATGTAATTTCAGCCATGGTTAGGAAATTTCTTTGATTCAGCATGTATCTGAATGGTGTTGTAAACTGTTTCATTGATATGTACCAGAATCAGCCAGCAGCTGGTGGTGTTTGAATTTGAACTGGAATTGCATTTAATGCTAGTGTGGGGCCATTTTTTTGAATTGGATTGGTTGCTGGTTCAGTTGGCTGATGATGCTGCTGTTGGTTGGTGTTCGCACTGTTACAGGTTCAGCACCAGCCAAAAAAACAGCCAGCCGAACGGGGCCATAAGCCTACTAACTTCAAAAGGAGGGTCTGCATCTTATATATATATAGTATAGACACAGAAAAGGTAGCTACAAATCTAGGTGCTAGGACCTATAGCTATGTTCACACCAAATGCATAAAAAATATAGAAACAACTCCAACTACAACAAGCTATGTTCACAGCAAATAATTCCAAAATAATTTGTCTACAACCTAGGTGCTTGGACTGGTTCAAAAAGCACTGGGTCAGGCCAGCAAAGTACTGGCCTGTTTAAACAATACAAAACTAGACCCCACAACCATGCAACGAAACCGACATTTATACAATTTGCCACAATATAAAGACAAACTTGTCTTCACACACCATATCAATGTGCAAATGCAGTCATAATAGGTCCTATAGAGAGCCATACTGTTGAAAATAAGAGTACCATGAGAACTACTAGCAATGATAAAAAGAGCTCTGTTTTGTTTAAGTATAAAATGCATAACCAGGGACTAGTTTCTGCATGGCCGACAAATCGGCAACAGTGACTTCACGGATGTGTCATCCAACATGGTTTGAATATTTCAATACCAAAAACTTTTATGTGCAAATTCTCCAGTGAACAAACAAATAAATAAATTGCAATAACGGAAAGACAAATCATCATGGCGAACATAGTACAATCCAATATAAATTCCTTTTTCAGTCAATCCAACATAAATTCTTTTTTCAGATGAATTTACAACACTTTAATAACCGCTAAGTATAAAACAATACCTGGATAGTGCATTACCACCTAGTCCAATCATATGTAGAGGCGCTCGGAGTCGGTGAAGGCGACGTAGGACGGCGTGGTGCGGTTCCCTGGTCGTTGGCGATGATCTCGACGCGGTCGTGCTGCCACACGCCGACGCACGAGTACGTCGTGCACAGGTCGATGCCGATCGCCGGCCCCTCGCCCTTGGTCGGCGCCATTGCTGCGTCTAGATCGCTCGCGGCGGCGGCGGCAAAAAGACTGGATGAGAGAGGGGCAGCTAGGGTTAGGGTTTTTGCGACTGCGCTTGGAGCAGAGGCGATTGCTACTGCGCTTTTCAGATGCAGAGGCGGCGCCGATGTCGTGGTGGTATTTGTACACAGAGCTCGCTTGGTCTCGGTCTCTGTCTCCTCCGAAATTGCGGGGGAGCGTGGCCCAACAAGGGCCCAGTTCGAACTCTACAGCTTCTGCAGGTGGGGCCCGTAGAATTTAAGCGTTTGACTGTTTGTTTTCTCCACGTGATGGGTCTGTTCGTCTTGCTGCCAATGGACCCATAACCGAAGGTAATTCTCTATTGTTCCTAATATACTCCGGTTTTGCTAAATTTGACCACGCCTCGGGACAAACTTTTATTTATCCTTTTTTATTTATCACCGAAGAATATAATTACAGTATTGAGTATGCAGGGGCTGAGCTAGCCAACTAAAGTAGACTTCAAGATGCTTGCTGAAGATATTCCCTAGGTGGGAGACAACAACTACAGTAGCAACTTCTAACCAAATGGTCCTGAATGCATTTGTAAGTGAAGCAAACTGAGCCCCATATAACGATGAAAGATAGTTAGAATGGGCGACTATTTCTATTTGCATAGTCATCAATCACTAAAGCCAATTCAAATGGCCATATGAGGTTGATGCTTCTGCTCTGCATTTAGATACCGCACCATGGCGGTGGCATTATCTTAATTGGCTGCAAGGTTGGCACTTTTAGCCCACAGTAAAAAATCGAACCAAGGTTGTACAACTCAAAATTCTGGTGGTCAGGAGTCGGATAAAAAATCTAGGAGAATTTAGTAGTTAAGAGTAGATATTAAACTCTACTAGACTCGATTTTTTGTTCATGTTAACTGAATAATTGCAGAAACTGTGTAAAAGAATGATCATTTGAAAGTTTATTCTTTTTTAGCCTGAGCTAGATTTTAGCTGATTGACAAGTTAAATCCACGACTTTTACGTTGGAAGATGATGAACGTTTGTATATGCAGTCTATGAAAAAAAAAGTGAACCAAACTTTGGTATTATTTTCAACACCAACTTGCCCTGAAAATTGTAGCTTTGGAAATGGTTGCATTATACCGTGCTGTGTTGCTGGTTTTGCTAACAGACGTCCTACCTGAAGAAGCTTTGTTAGTTATAAATGGTAAAGGCTAAAGCTAGGCACTAAAACTTGTAGTGCGTGCATTGCACAAAAGCAGATTTTGGATCTGGATGCGTCCATCCTAAAATACGGCTTCGTTCTAAGCTATGCACTCAATCGTTTGGTGCGGTTTACCTTGTAGGCATTTCCTCGAGCTGCTGTTGGGCGTTGTCCATTTGGTCGACCACTCCATTAGGGTGTGTATAGAGGTGCGGGAGGCTGCGTTGTGCGTAGGGCGCAGCACTGGTGCCGCTGACCTTTTTCGTCATGTGCGCCTTGTGCGGCACTGGAGGGGGGTATCAGGTACGAGCGAAGGGAGGAGCAGAGGGGCGAGGTCCGCGGTTGCGGCTGGCAGCAGAGGGGGCGTCGCTGCAAGGAGAGGAGGCGGCCGCGAGGGCAGTTGCCGGATGAGGGCGCGACGTTGATTCGTGTCTCAGCGTGCTCATCGCTCGCGGGCGTGGGGAAGCCATGGCGGCAGGTGGCGCTGCTGGTGCCGTCATGCTTCGTTTCCCAGGCGGTGGAGCTTGAGTGCAGAGCGCCGCGACCCAGATAGGGGCGGCGGCGGCCCGAGAGATGGATGGTGGGTGGCGCAACAGGTGGCGACGAACGCCGGTGGGCCGCAAGCGACGCAGCAGGCGGAGGGCGGGCGCCGGCACCTTCGCGGAGGGCGGAGGGTGCCCGCTCTTGTGGTGTGCGGTGGTGGCCGTGTCCGGCTCGCTTGCGGGGCCGCGCTCAGCTCGCCCGCGGGCTGCGCCGCCTCGCTGATGGCTGCCGCCCGTGCTGCCACTCGCTCGACGGACGAGCCCGAGAAAGTTCGCGAGGTTTCGGGTTGAGAAAGAAACGGGCAGGGACCAAATCCATCCACAATCGAACGGACAACATCGCAAGTTTGCTGGATCGGACAGCCAGCGGGCTAACGGGCTACGTGGCCCTATCTGTTAGCCCGCTTTTGGTGCAGGATTCGTTTATAGAGAATGTGTGTAGCGCACGCACCGACGGCCGTGTGGGCGGGGACGTGGGCGCGTCTGCTTTGGCCCTCCCGCCCGCGAAGACAACCCGGGGTGGTCGACTCCAGCTTCTACGAAGCAATCTCGTGGCCACAGCGCTACACTTGGACAATGACATCAACGAGGTTAGCGTCGTGGCGCTGTACGAGCCGGCCACAGGCGGTGCGTGCGCGTCCACGTCCAGTGGGTGGAACAGCAATGCGCTGTCCAAGAGGACCAGGGACGAGTTCGATAGACGCACTGAAGTTGTGCTCCTAATTCTCTGTTCATAGCAATGGGTGCAGATTGAATAAAATTCAGTTCGATTCGTGATGTCAGTCATTTGTTTCTTGCTACTAAGACCCATAACTATTTTCTTGTATGTCATATATATATGTACGAGTTATTTCAGAAAGGGGGAAAACAATAAAATCAAGGCTTCATTGAATATTGATAGGACCAGTAATAGAAAATCAAATGGCACCATTTCCACTATATTACTTGTAACTATATTTGGAGCATTGAGCACCCATCAGGACTCGAAGAATCTGACAGTTGTTTGGTGATATCCAACAATCGGCCTGTTTGGCTCGGCTTATACGATCGTGGATTATAAACTGGAATAGTATTTTTCTCTCACATCAAATCAGCCAAACCAGCCAACAGTAAATAATCCACGATCGTTTACGACGAAACGAACAGACTGAATGTTGAACGTTTGAACGCTTTTCAAGTTCAGTTATAATTTATTCTTAATGATGACGTTCTTGAGAAAAGCTATGTACTCTCTCCGTTTCAAATTAGAAGTCGCTTTGACTTTTTTGGTACATCCATTTTGTTATGCATCTAAATAAATAATATGTTTAGATACATGGCAAAATTGATGAACCGAAAAAGTCAAAGCGACTTATAATTTGGAACGGAGGGAGTACTATATTTTCTCTGTATTGATCAATTTATTCTCATGTTGGCGGGGAATACAATTAGAGTATTGTATTTAAGTATTTAACTATCTGCAATAAAAAGGTATAGGTGATCTTGATTATTGTTTCAGCATTTCTGTGTTCTTGACATTCATTTTCCAAACTTTTGCAGACCGTTTATAGTTTTTTCTGTATATAGGGTAGTAAATCTTATGAGTGGGCAGGTACTTTGACTAGCAAATTTTGTGTACGCTCTATCCGAGAACAACCACCTGTATTATTCTCTTATATGCACGATATCAGTCTACTAGAAATTCAATTTGGTACTTAGTAAGGCCTTGGATGCTACGCATTTTCCTGGAGCTACAAAATGGACGGTTCATTTATGGATTGAATTTGATTTGTGCAAAAAAGGGGAACCGTGGCATGGATGCTTTTATGGGTTTTGTATAGTGTTTTGTTGCTTGATTAAATGCTAACGGTTGTGGATTGTACATTTCAGTTTGATGCTATGTTTGTGGCACGCGGCACACTGGGTTAGTGATTGTTACGAAAATGAATTAGCACCCAAGAAAACCTAATAAACAGCAAATATGTGCATGGTTGTTTTGACGCTATTAAATTGGTGCCCATGATTCTTTATAGCTCAAAAACATGCTGTTAGGATCAGATGGACTGTACTATCAGTTGACCTCAATTTTTTCATGCTCCTATAGCATTGAAAATTTTGAGAGTCGTAGCAACGCACGAACGAAAATTTGACCTCCTCTAAAGCATTGAAAATTTCAAGACTCATGTAGTAACGTATGGGCAAAAATTTTGAGGCTTCCGTAGCAACGCGCGGGCATATGCTAGTCTTGGTAAATTGAAATCTCCAAGCTCAAGGACAAGGAGAGTGTAAATCTCAATGTTTGTTGACTCAGTTTTATCAAGATGTTTATACTGACCGAAGCTACGTAGAGATTAGAGAGTGTAAATGTACCTTTTATAGAAATAGTGATTATATCTAAAATTTTATCATATATGCATCATTTGTGGCATATATCTATGCAGCCACAAGGCAAGCAACTTCGCCATAGTGAGGTGTATCTTGATTTCTGCCAGCTCAATATTTTAGAAATTCTTATAGGAGTAGGAAGTGTGCGCCATCAATAGAGGGTGCATATAGTGACTTGCCAATCTCAAAACCTCACGATCCAGTCTCTCATAAGTACTCATAAAATAGCATGTGTGTAATTATATATGTATAGACAGTAAGTGTACATGTATGTACATGAGCGTTTTATATTGTGATAAGTAAAAAGTGACATTAATAAGGCACAAGAGTCTCTATCTATTTTAACACCACATATCCAATCATACCTTGTCTTTTTAGATTATATACTCCCTTCATTCTAAAATTATAAGACGCTTTGGATTATTAGATATGCAGTTTTTGCTATTGCACTTAGATATACACTATGTCCACGTATTAAAACAATATGTCTACAAGGGTCAAAACATCTTATAATTTGGAAAGTAGGAAGTATCACTTTAATGCTATAAGTTAAATCAAATTATATATCATTTTAATCTTCCTCCAAGTCAAACTTATTCAACTTAGACTAAATTTTACTAGTTTAAATAAATGCAAAATCATTATATATTTTTGTGGTGAATTTAGTAAAAATACTTTGTGGTATTGTTGTCCATATCTGCCGGCTCAGCCCTTCGGAGGTACTCATATGGGTAAGGTTTACGTACGTGTGTTCATAAGGGTGAGAGTACGTGCATGCTGTGGGCGTCTACATTGTACTGTGTAATTCTAAAAAAAATTGACCAAAGTTAGAAAAGTTCAAGAGAAAAAGTTAAATCTATATACCTAATACTAAAAGTGCTATTTTTTCATCTGTTCATCACCACCCTCCCTTGTTTATCTCTCCTTCCCTCCCTTATTCGGTCAGGCTCAGATGACAATTGTAGACTGTATCATCTTTTGACACAGCATCGATTATTTATAATTTAAATTTGCAAAACCTTCGAACCACTCGTATACGCCCTGTTCGCTTGGCTTATAAGCCGTACTTTTTCAGTCAACGAACGATATTTTTCTCTCATAACAAATCAGCCAATAATACTTTCAGCCATGGCTTATCAGCCAAGCGAACAGAGCAATAATGCCATGGCCACCTAAGCTCTGAGCCATCCATGTTGCGACACATGAGCGGCCGCTTTTTCAACTTTCTTAACCTCATAGCACGATGTACACAATAGACATCTATTTAAACTGATGCAATCTTAAGTCAATAGACATGGCATTAATCTTTTACTAGACATGGCATTTATTATGAGTTCTAAAGTCAATAGACATGGCATTTATTACAGACGTGCACATACCCGTACACACGTCACCTTCTACAAATGCGCACACACATCCTAACTTTACGAGCATATATGAAAGATTGAGCTGATAGGTCTCGAAATTAATAAAACCATCACTGACGCCTAGCGGATCTCAAGATTAACAAAGTTGCCGTAAGCAACTCACCGTCAACGGACATATAGTGTACAATTGAAAGAATATCATTGTTAAGTTTTAAAATATGAATTTAGAAAAATACAAGCACCTATGTTAAGGTCGAGAAAATATTTCTTTTATTCATTTTCTCTATGAAATATGCGCGGCGGCCTGCCAAAGCCCGAGTCCAGGAAAAACTAGCCCGATTTATCCGTAAGACGGTTGTAGATTAGAATTTTTCGGCCCAAACCCGGCCCTAAAAATAAATCGGTAAGGTCCAACCGTTGCCGACGATGAATTGGTCTCGGCTCACGTTTGACGTCACGACGAATCCAGCTCCGCTCCAGCCTCTATCTACGGGCTCCGGCGGAACCCACTCCAGTGGTCGTCTCGTCTGACGTCTGGTATAGTCCTCCGGGCCCACGCCGAAGCGGCCACGGACGAACCACCACGCCCCCGCGCGTAACACGAGAAGGACACGAGCGCACACTTCTCAACAGTTTTCCTCTCAGCCGCGACCTGTCTCTGTCTGTTCTTCCGCCCCCACCCACGGATCTCTCTCTCTTCTTCTCTTCCCCGCGGCCGCGGGAGTGTTCGTGTTCCTCGTTCCTCCCGCTTCCTTCCCCGGCACTCCCTCAGATCCGCGCCCGTTTCCCCGATCCACGCGCCCCGCGACGCGAGGGGGCATTCCAGCCCTAAAGCGGCCGGTGAGCAGGCCTCCTTCCGCCGACGCGGACCACCTGGAGGGAATTTATCCTGGAGCCGTCTTCCTCCTCGCCTCCTCTCGCGGCGCGGCGCGGAGGCCTGAGTCACTTGGAGGTCCAGCTGTGTTTGGATTGATTTCTTCGTTTGTGGGTAAGGACGCACGGCTGGATCGCCCGCTCGGATGGTGGATTGTTCTACGAATGGGCTTTTTTTGGGGGGGCTCTATAGGATCTTAGTATATACGTGTGACCATTCAGCGATCGAATCTAGATCACTCTTGCTGGTATATATACTCCAATCCCTCCGTCCACGCGGTTAGCTAAGCATTTGTTGGTGGATTGTGATTGGCGGGTTTGTAATAATAGCTGTTTATTTCCAAATAAATTGAGGTTCAACTAACTGAAACCCCATTCCCCTCGTTAAGTCCGCCCTTCCCGTGTGCTGAGGGAGTAAGGAAGCGATGTCCAGGTCGTGTCAACCGCTATGTTTATACTAGGACATAGAAATTGCTCGGTTAGGCCTGAAATCGATACCTTATATTATTTGTTTCTTTTGGTCATCACATAGTTAGGTGTGTTTAGTATGTTCTTCGCTCTTCCTGGGTTGCCAGTTTAGTTGTTGATATGCATTGCGTCTGCTTATTGTTACTCATTTCTTATGTTGAATAAATTTCCTCGTTATAATCTTTCTGCAGTGGCTAGGGGCACCTGGATTGTTTTAGCTGAAGCTGGTGGTACATGTGAATAGCAGGGCCTGTCTTCTGTATCTGCTCTTGCTTCTAAGCAATGGCGAATGCGAGCAAACACTTGCAACTGTCAGGCAATGACAGGAAGTACCAGGGCATGTTGGTTGCTTCTCCAGCAAAGACCATTTCACCTAAGTGTGTGAACCGCATTGTGCCATCAAAACAACTGATCTTGGGTGGGGATTCAATAGGCCATGTGGTGTCATTTCTGATTAAGGTCGTTGCTCTTGAGGCAGTCAGAAGAGTTTCTAAAGCAAGATGCCCTTTCATATGGAATTCTGTTCAAGCATTGCAAATCCTTGTGTATCCTCCATTTAGTTGGATCCAAAGATGGGCACCACTCAAATTTCTCGTGCAGGGAATTCAGGTTATTTGATTTCTCAGCTCTCCAAAATGGATACTCTTTATTTTCAAAATTAGTTAGTGCTTTAGCAAATACCACGTGCTTAGATATTGTATTATTCCTTGACGTAGATGAAAGATAGACGAGGGAGGGGGAATGCTATTTTGTTATCCATTACTACCTTCTGTGTACTTATTTGACCATAGTACTGTAGTACGTCAACATTGTCTCATTTACTCACAATCTTAATAACATGTTCGGTTCTGATGTAAGTTATATAGTTTATTTGTGTTTCAAACATGGTGACGTGGAACAATTTTCTCTAGAAATCAACATAGATCGAGCAGCATTATCTTGTCAATAGGTTCTTAGGATGCTCAATTTTTCTTTCCATTGTGGCATATTTTAGCAGTCTTTTTTTGGTTCCAACACTACAGCAACAAGAACACTGGTTTAGGCGTTTGCTCAATTGCATGTTTTACATTTTGTAGCCTTGACAAATATTTTTATCCGTCCTTTGAGCCCATGCCAAGTCGAACCATGACTGGTCCAGAGTTAATCTGTAGTGAAATGTTCTGACTCACAGTCTTGTTTAATATATGAAGAATTCTACTTAGCTTAGAGCTGGCATAAGACTAGGAGTTTGGTTTGGGGGCATTGGGTGTTTTGCACAATGGGCTCCTTGCAACATCATCTGGGCTTCTAGACAGATTATGAAATCAAAAACATTTTCCTAAAATGTGGTAAGCGCTAGGCGAGGTGGCACCTAGCTCGTAATCGCCATTAAGAGGCTATGCAGCTACCTTTTATGACAGTGACAAAAAATGGACATCTTATTTAATGTACATTGCAGCACTTCACAAGGTAACCTGTACTTACTGTGGAACATCCCAGGTAAATTCATGTGATGAGTGTGCTGTAGGTGCCGATCAAATCTCATTTGTATCTTTTCCCTTCTTCGATACATTGTTGGATACTTGAATGGGTTGCATAACACATTCCAAAACAGCATTTTATTTTCCCAAACAAAGATCTCCAAGTAACTGATGATTTGTTCTCTACTGCAGAAACTATCCATGCCACTGTTGTTTCTGTCAATCACAACAACAGTAAGTGAGCTGTCTTCCAAGCGTGACGATGAACCAGATAACAATACAGAACATTCTGAGACACCTTCTGAAACAAATGAAGTGGCATCAACTTCTGGCACAAGGTTGGTTAAAACTTGAGAAATAAGCCAATAATCAATAAATATCTCTTAGTTTATGAAGTGCTTTGCTGGTTTGTTGTCGTTGAATCATGATATCATACTATTCTAGTTCTTTTGGCATCCTATCACAGCAATTAGATAGTGGTATGGAAAGTGTAAGCTGGAAGGATTGCATATAATGCGTGGATGTATTGCATTGGCCCTCTCGGGCAGTATATAGAGAGAGTACATAGACTTGGGGGGCAAGACACCTCCCTGGATACTTATGTCAATACATCCCTAACTACCAAATATACTCTTAACAAAAAGAAGTCTACCTTGTTTAATAACACTGTGGGTTTGATTTGTTTTAGCGATGCTGCTGATGGCACAAAGGAAATCGTGCAAGAGAACTGGCTTGTGTTACTTTTCAGGGAGCTTGAGAAGCAAGGCATCACTTTGCCCGAGAGGTGCTTTCTGCTATATTCTTTGCTATTCATGTGCATCATATTTGGAACTATTGGAGTATTTGTCCTTGAGTTAGGATCTGAAACACTATGCAGCAGGCAAAAAAGTTCATTGTACATTTTGCAGCGATTTTTTTACTGTACTTCTGAATATGGGGACATCAGTTTATCCTTAAGAAGAGAACTTTGAAAGTGCAGAAATATGTTACTGTCTATGTTGTCTGTGTGAGGATAGACGCAGCTTCTAAGTTCTCAATTTAATGAATTCTACACATTAGTTGTTATATTATGTTGGTAATCTTTTGATCTTGCTTGCAATGCTATTATCTACAAATAGAGAAGATATATAACATCATTTCGTTTATGAATGCTATTGCCACAGTACACAGTAGTCTTTTAATCAAACTGCCTTTATTAGGAAGCTAGCACATGTCTGAAATGAGCATCCTGGTCCACACAACTGAGTCTAGATGGATGTTTCAGGTTTACTGAAGATGAGTTACGCAGATTTTATGTCGCTGCAAATGGTGACTTTTCAAGTTTACTCTCTTCGGTTAAGAAGACAATTCGTTGGAGGGAAACATTTCACATACTTACATTGCAAGAACTTGATAAATGGTCTCACTTAGTCTTTTGGCATGGATTTGACACGATGCTTCGGCCTTGTTTAGTAATTCGTCTCGGACTTGCATGCTCCAGCATACCACCTCGTGATAGACCCTGTTTCGGGCAAGCAGTAGGTAATTTCCCAAACTGTTCTGTCTGTAAATTTATTTATGTTCTCGGTGATTATCATTCTCTACGTGATAATGTCATTATGGCCTCAAAGTTTAGAGCTGGGTAGTCAAACTCACATCTAGGGTGGGCAATGTTTTTCCTGCTTGCAGTAATCTGCTTCTTTCAATATATCTTTTCTGCTAGCAACATATCTTCTATCAATGGAACTCTTAGGCTCAGTTTAGCATTATATTGATTGTCAAAAACATATCCTTCTCTTTGTTTCTTGTTTTGGTATAGGTCTATTGGAATTAGTTGAAAACATTTCTTTGAATTGAAGTCTTACTGTAACTGTCAAAACTCAAATCGATAAAGATCCATGTAACTCAGTAGACATAGCATAACAAAATGGGCGCTACCGCACTAGCATATGGCCTTTGTTGTGCTCCCTGCCTCTCCCCTTGTTTACTTACTACGGAGAAGGTATTATGATTTGTTTTCACCTTTTGCTTCCTCTAATTGTTTGCAAGAAAAGTGGCTACTATCTTACTGATGTCTTTCAATTCAGTTTCTCAAATTGACCATGGTGTTGTAAATTTGACCAATGAAGAAGATTCAAGAATTACTGTTTTGCTGGATTGCCATGGGATTTCTCCATTCAGATTTCCAATGCAAATGATGAGGTCATTTATCACTGTAGTTCAAGAAAACTACCCAAATCGTCTTGGGGTATTGTTTGTTGTCCGCCTTCCTCCAGTTGTCAGAGTTATTGCACAGACATTTCTTCAAGTAAGATAATTATTACACCCTACTTGCATCTCATGCTGCTGGTTTTGTCTTGTGTATCCACTTCGCCTGTTTTATATTTGGGTGATGAATATTTTTAAAGCGACCTGCTTTAGTGATGTCTATTATGTTATAAGGTGACAAAATATTTCAAGTTTTTAACTACAACTGATGTTTTTTTTAATATGTCTAGAAGTGCATTATTGATGATGCACTGTCAATTCATTGTAAGACCTGCCAGTTTTCTTGACAACACAATATCTTTGTTCTAAACATGCATGTCAGTTCGTGGAGATATGCTTTGTCAACGATATACAAAATCTAGTGGCCACATGAAATCTTCACTCTCATATGGTAACTTGGAATGGTGACGAACAACGCAATCTTGATGATTCACTTCAACTTATGTTTGATGCCAAAAGTTACCTGCAACACTTGTTTTTTCGACCAAAGTTGGTAGTCTAATCAGGATACAAACCAACCAAGGTTGACTACAAGTTAAAATAATCTGTAGAAAGGATCAGTTTAACTTAATAACTTTTCACTGGTAGATTGCAACATCACATGGTACTTATAGCTTAATTCTATACAGGTTTTGAAACCATCTACAAAGCAGAAGTTACGCTTTGAGGGAGATTCGTACAAGAAGACATTGGCAGAGTTCTTGCAGGTTGTGCCAGCGTTTCTGGGCGGTAAATGCAGCTGCCCACAATGTGAGAAGCCTCGTAATAGTTCAGTGATACAGGCAGGGGAAGGGAGCAAGAACCAGCCTCGCTTGGTCAGCGTTGATGACGGATCACCTGTCACAGACTTCGACTTCGATGAAGAAGAGATCCCATCAGCTTATAGCTGCGAGAACACCATCAGGGCCGCAATAATCGGCCTGCTGATGGTGTGCATCTTCATCGCGTTTCTGGCTGGGATGAACGACCCCGCATCCGTTCCACCCAGTGCCTGAGAGCTATGGAATCGCCTACTCTCCTATAGTAGATCTTAGATTGTCTGTTGAGTAATAGAGTATATACATACATGTGTTGCTGCTAGGATGCTAGGGTGTTGTTTTCCTTGGCAACTTCTTCTCGGTTGTCGTCAGACCGCCATGATAGTGCTTTGTCTCAATATGAGCGCAGATGAATAATAGCCTGTGTGTCAGTGTGTGGCAAATGTTGGCTCACAGTTAAATTTGAACCCTTCGATGTCTTTCTTAACGGGTTTGCTGTAGTAGGGCAATGTGATATCTCGTTAGTGTAAGTAAGAGTTGTCAACCACAAGATAACACACTGGTTTCAGCTCTTTATATAGTTCATACAATCATACGTTGCGCTATGATAATCCTTGCGGGGAAGAGTGGCCCTGTCCTTGCGGGGAAGAGTGGCGCCGCTGCTTCGCTCTCGCCTTTCCCTTCATTTTCCACTCCCACCTTACCCCCAATATAGGTGGCCGCTGGTGAACACAACGCCGAAAGCCATGGAGAGAAACGAAAGGTGAAGAGTGGGTCGTACTCCAGTGGGATGCGGTCGAGTCATGGGCTAGGAAGAGCTGCGGGAGCATGGAGGGCGTCAACAACGGCGAGCTTGACGCTGGGACCGCTGACATCAAACTCAATGGCGAGGGGAGAGGCAAATGGGGGTCGGCGGTGATGGCCTGATGGGAGTGTGAAGGGTGTTCTTACTGGCATGGCGTGCATCGCCAAGGAGAGAGGGGAACTAGAGGAGGGAGAAGACAGTGAAAATCTTGGTCGGGAAGAGGGACGAGGAAGTGAGAGAAAGGGACAGAGGAGGGACATTCTTGTCTTTTCGCATGGGTCCTCTACGCTGATACGTTGAAATCTCGTGACACATACGCGAAAGTAGACAAAATTGGTGATATGGCAAAAAAAAAAATCCTGATGGCAATTTTACAAGAATATTCGATAGGATGGCTTTTGACTGTGCATTATTTGATAGAAATGCAATAAATTAAATATCCAGGTGTTCAAAAAACTAAACATCCCTATGAGAAATCACTTTTAGTTCTTAAATAGATACAAATTATGTGTTTGTTGTGTCTCTATGGTCACTGATGCTCTTAGAGTGGTCGATAATTGTCGGGTTTATAAACCTGGGGTCCCTCGGAGATCGGCTTTCACGCCAGGGCTTGGTCCAGGAAAACAGCACGTAATTCATGGGCCGGCCCAATAGTCTAAAAACACGACGGGCCGGAAGGACAGTCCGGTCGCCGACCGGAAGGTCTACCCAAAAGGACAAGCTTTCGCTCGTCAACTTCTTCGGCCCACCTCTCCGACCGGATCACTCGCTTCGGGCACCAGCCCCTCGAGCGGTCTCTCCGATCGGAAGGCCTGGCCCAAAACGCTGCTTCCTACTCCGACCCTGCGACTCCGACCGGAGACCCATAGGAAGCCTGCTTACCGCTCTTCTCCGACTGGCGCCTGCGGGAAAGGACCAGGGGCAAACGGAGAAGGCAGCGAAGTCAAACCACGATACCAGAACCATACCCTGTACGCCTGCGGAAACAGTGCTCAACCGCTCTGACGCAAACAATATTGTAGGCGCCGACATTTGTGCCCACAGTATTGTAGGCGCCATTAGGGCTCCCATACGACAAAAAGCCCCCCATGCCTCTAGGGCATCGATAGTGGGCGCCAGGATCCACCATACCTGGTACACGTGGTAAGGGCTCCTCACATAACCATCGTATTTTGCAGGTACCGACATCCACCCTTCCTGAAGAAGCCAACGCAACATCTCATGTGTACTCGACATTCTACAGTGACGTCAACATTATTGTGGGCGCCTACCATCATCGCTACCCTCGTCGGCATGGGCAATAAGGCTTAGAAACATCAGTACTCTCTCCCTCTCATCTGTAAAACCATCCCCTTTATCTATAAAAGGAGGTGCGCTCCCTCCAACAAAGGAGGTCGACTTCTTCAAGATCAGACTCACTAGATCGATAGTTCGCAACCCCTCAAGCACACACTTGAATACCTAGTTCGTAGCGGAGTTCCGGTCGCCCTCGGCCCTTCCGGTCGGACCCGACCAGGCCTCTCGTACACCCCACCTTTCTCCTTCTCGTTTGTAACCCCACTACAGACTTTGAGCACCTAGGCTCAGGAATAAAGTCACCGACCGACCCACACTAGACGTAGGGCATGTTGCCCGAACCAATATATATCATGTGTCATTGAGTGCTAAGCCACCTCCGATCACAACATACAACAAAACTACAAATATTCACTAGTTGGTCACTATCTGTACCGACAGTTGATGTCGTCCGTGGGGAAGACGTTGTACGGTCCAACACTTTTTGGTCATCGGATGGCCCATTTTTTCACCACCCCCGCCGTGGCGGGCTCGGGCGATACGATTCACTTCGGCTCGCTGGGGTATCCCGCACTCTCGCCTGTGGGGATGTGGGTTCCACCCGTTTTCGAGCCATCCCAGGCCTTCCTCTTCGAAAGCCTAGACTTCGTCGCCGACCGGCTCGGCGTACTCCACCTCCACGAGGAGACTCGTGACCCGACACCCATCAGAGAGATGTCCTCCATCGACTCCGGGATGCGCGACCTCAACGGCGTGGCATCTGCGCTTCATTCCGAGCAAACTCTCTGCTCAAACCCCGCTGTGAGTAATATACATGCTGTTCTTTACTTACTACATTTTATCTTCCACCAAATACCCGGAGGGCCACCGTTGTCCCCATCGCGGTCCCCATACGATTGGTTCCCCTACGGCCTCGTGTCTCCCATGGACGCGTACGCCCGGGGGCTCCAAAAGATTATGGCCCCTCTTCCTCTCACGTCTGAGTTCGTGGGGATGGCGATCTACGGTCCCACATGTTTCCTCGACATCATGGACGACGACGTCGGGAGTGATGGCTCCAGCATTGGCGACATGGCACCTAGCCACCGTCTGTCCCGGGAGTGCACCATGCCGGATGCTCCAGAACTGCCGCCAAGGGCAACGGAGTCCTCACGGACTCACGCCCCTCTAGGCCCTCATACGGAGGCCCCCGAGCTCACACGAGAGCATGGGGAGGATCTACAACGACAAAGGGCCGCAAGATTACCACGCATCGCCGAAGCGCTTTCGGCGACGCACCACATCAAGCGCCCCAGACGATAGACCGGCGGCGGCGCGGCTGGGTCACGCCTGTCAGTCCAAAGACAACACCCCAGTTAGGGGGACCGATCCCCGCAGTTCACTCGGGCCAGTCAGAACATTGTCGCCGCGGCAATGCTCCTGCGCAGCCTGTCCAAACCGAACGACCCTCGCAAATAGGTGATCCATCGAAACCTTCGGGTACTAGTGGAGACTGCCGCCGTTCAGCAAGCGGAGTGCTCCGTATCGCGATGCCAACTCACGACCTCGTTCCCCGTCCGAGGAACAGGGACGCAGCAGATGGGGCACTACACACTGTCACCGGAACAGCCGCTGAGCGCGGCACACGAAGTCCCAGCACTGACGGCCCAGGACCACCAACCTTTGCCCAACTCCGCCAGCAAGCGCTGTTCTCACCGTGCTTCAACGGGGGCCACGGCAAAGGAAAGCCCAAACGCCAGGATCAAGATGAGGGCCCCTCCATGCAGAGGGGAAAAAAGAACAGAAAGGGTCGCCGCCGACCGGCCGACTCCGCGTTGGTCGCCGCGGCGGATTACGCAGGCACTCAGCCCCAGCAAGACCCTCCGGGCCACTTTCACGAGCTCATGGAGAGCCCATGCACCAACCACAACTCTCCCGTTAACCATCTCTACAAGGACTGCCAGCTCCTCAAGCGCCTGCTGAGGTAGACTGGCAGGCCAAAGGAAAGAAAAAGGCGAAGAAGCAATGACAGAAGAAGGGGGCACAGCGGGCGAGGATCGAGACGACTGAAAGCTGAAGTGATCCGACCGGACGCCCACCGACTAAACGACAACGACGACGACATTCTCTCCAAACGCTTGGAACAGCTATTTCATTTTTCCTTTCCCTAAGTTTCAGTTTTACCGTTGTTTACTTAGCGAACGCTCCTATAAGAGCACCTTACCAAGACCCAAACACTTTTTTCTTTCTTGGAGCGCTACACAAAATGCTCCACTAGGGGATTTGCTATTACCCTTCAAAACATTCTAACCTCTTTTTTACTTTCATATGGAGAAACTCCTTCCTACCCAAAATGTGAGATACATTTGGTTTAAGGATTAGTCCACATTGTTCTTTTGATTTGCTTTACGAGCTTTGCTTCAAAACATTCTAACTGATGATCGCGCATTGAGTCATGTGATCAAGGTGGAGAAGACCTATTCCTATGTTTGGACCTGCCCTAGAAGGCAAGTCAAGGCTTTGAGTGAGCCTCACTTGAGCAAGACTTGCCCATTGACTCACAAGGTTGCAAGATCGATGAACCAAACAACGCGAAGTGGATCATATCATTGTTGATAGTGTACAAGAAAGAAAGAAGTAAGAAACAAAATTATGCTAAGAGAAAACAAAGGAACAAAGGGAACAAGCTTCCCCGAACGAAGCAACTCCATCACAAAAACAAAAACTGATTGCAGTCATTAAAACACACCATGAACATTTTACACGGGGGCTCCCCCACGAACTTAAAACTTTTTACGTTTACTAACTACTTATGTTCTGCAAGCTATTAAACCGACCCGGCGGCATCTGCTGGCGCCGCGACCGACGAAGGCATAGGCTGCTCACTCCCCGGTGGCACGACGTTCGGCTCGATCGAGGCCGAGGCGACATTTCCCCCCGAACCAGGCGCCGGGCTATCCGTAGGCTCAGAAGCGTTCTCTCCACACATGCTTCGGGCCATGTCTTGATGGCGAACGTCCATCACCCACTCGCGCGGAGACTTGCTCTGACACCGACCGCGCGTGCGGCAGCAAGCTCTCCCCGATTGATTGGATGTCCTCCATGCTCAGACCTTCAGCATACCCATCACAGATAGCGGCAAAGTCTAGGTTCGGGT